CACTGCCTCTGACCCTATCACTGTGTCCAAAGATGAGATTTCATCTACCATCAAAGTACTTAAGCTCAAAAAGCACCGGGTGAGGATGGTATCTCCAACAAAGCCCTCAAACACTTTCCGGAGCAGGTGATCGCCTTATTGGCCATAATCTTCAACGCCTGCTTCGAATTCAGCTACTTTTCCACCTCTTGGAAAGAGGCAACTGTCATTGGCATTCCCAAGCCAGGCAAACTTCACCACCTCCCCTCCAATCACCGTCCCATCAGCCTCCTCAAGGCCGCCAAGGGCAAACTTTTCGAACGAGTTATTCTCGTGTGCATGAGGCGCCATTTGTTTCCCGCAGACGGCGACCCTCTTGTCATCCCTCAACAATTCGGGTTTCGAGCCAAACACTCGTGCCCCCAGCAACTTCACCGCATAGTGGAATATATCCTCAGCGATTTTATCCTCGTCGTCAAAAAACCATCGCGGCCTTTTTTGACATTTCCAAGGCATTCGACAGAGTCTGGCACCAGGGCCTTATCTACAAATTGTACGACTTAGGCCTCCCTGACCGTCTCATCCGCCTTGTAGCGTCCTGTCTAAAGGATCGTACCTTTCACTTTAGATACGAAGGCACGCTATCCTCTACTCGTCAAATCAAATCCGATGTCCCTCAAGGCTCTGTGCTTGCCCCCCTCCTATATATACTATTCACCAACGACATCCCTATCCCGTCGAATGGTGTTAAACTAGCCCTCTTCGCAGATGACACAGCCCTTTACTCTAAAGGCAACTCATTGCCACAGATGCGGAATAAGATCCAAAAGGCAGTTAACGACTTAGGAGCTTGGTTCCAAAAATGGCGTATCGACGTAAACCCGGAGAAGTGCTCCGCCGTTTGCTTCGAATATAAACGACGCCGTCTCACCACCACTCCGTCAATCAGGATGTTAGGAACTCCTGTCCCATGGCAGTCAAAAGCCAGATATTTAGGCATCACCCTTGATGCAAGGCTCACTTTCGAGCCCCATATCAAGAAGGTAACTCGCACCGCACGATTTTACGTGGGTAGGCTCAACAGCATGTTGGGCAGACACTGAAAAGTGTCCCTCTGCAACAAGCGAACCCTATGTAAGGTCTGCATACGACCTTTCATGACTTACGCGGCCCCCATTTTCGCACATGCTAAGCCAAAAGTTATAAATGAACTTCAAATAGTTCAAAATCTATTCTGTCGTAGGGCCACTAACTCCCCCTATTATGTCCGTAATACCGACCTACACCGAGATTTAGAGCTCCCAACAATCCAGCAGTTCCTTAAATCACTCTCTGAGAGATTTTTCAAAGCCTCAGAGTCCCACCTAAATTATCTCATTCGTGAGACAGCTGCCTATGCAGCCCCTATCCACACTCGCTATAGTGTGCGCAGACCGAGAAACGCTCTTGGACCCCCCAACAAGCTTTCGGCTGACCTGAACTGCCTTCTGGTGGCTCAGGCCGAGCCGACATAACACATCCCTTAATCTGCCTTAGTTAGGCACACTTCTAAGCGGCTTTTCGCCGCTTGCGCCCTCCCGCGTTCGACGGCTTAGAGATCTCTCGTCAGATCGGTAAGCCAATCCATAAAGGCGGTGTTTAGTGGGTAAAAGTCTCCACATAACCACGCAGCCGCTGCGTGGTATGCTATGAGCATTCACCGCCTCCCTCCCCCGCTTTCCGGAGGGTTGCCCATATTTGCTTCAGGCGCAAAAAAAAAGCACGCGCGCGTAGTCGGCGAGCGGCGGCGGCGTAGGACACAGCTCCGGAACAGCAAGAAGAAGCGAGCTGCGGCGATGAAGAAACGGCTTCAAAATGGTCGACGGATACATAACGATAGCAGCGTGTGACGTCTTCACAACAGCTTCTCACCATGTGGCGCTGAATGATATTTGCGGCTGTTTCTTGTTTCTTTATTAGAACGTTAAATATATACGTCAAATTATCTCGCATCAATATGCAGCCCGCAGTATCTCAGTAGCCGGGGATAGTTAGGAAATAAATGTTTTCTTCGCCTTCTGTGTTATGGTAGCAGCAGGGTATATATTATTTATTGCCGATCGGCCAGTTTTCCCATAGTCACTTTTTACGACACCCAAGGGGTGTTTTTTCAAAAATAAATGTGAAGAATTAATAAATGATATATGGTACAAATAAATCGCCAATTTGGTCGATAAATTTTCGCTTAGGACGTCCCTTTCCGACTCTGCCATTCACTTCTGCAACATAAATTTTCTTTGTCACTCTTTCCTCATTCATTCTTTCCACATGACCAAACCACCGAAGCATTCCTTTCTTAATCCTGGTCACAACATCATCTTGCAAACCACACTCTTCTCTTATTACACAATTTCTTACCCTGTCGTTCAGATTCAGCCCTAACATACTCCTTAAGGACCGCATTTCTACTGCGTTGATTCTACTCTCATGCTTCTTCTGCCACACCCAACTTTCACTACCATACGTTAAAGTAGGGACCAACACAGCATTGTGAATTGCCATACGTGCCTTTTTTGACACATTTTGACTTTTCACAATAGAGTGCAGGGCCCCATTTACTCTATTTCCCGCATTCACTCGTCGTTCTATATCCTTATCATATCTCCCATCCCTGCTAAATACGCAGCCCAAATATACAAACTCATCTAATTGCTCGATCAACTCCCCTTCTATTCTTATTTCACAAATCGTTTTACTTTCTTCTCTTTCTAAAACCATAACCTTCGTTTTACTTGCGTTCACTTTCATACCCCTTTCTTTCGAATATTGAAAACGAGCCAAATTAGGAGTACCCTTAACCGACGAGCATGTGTGCGTAGGTGTATGGATGTGAAGGAGGCGAGAGAGGTGTGTCAGGATCGTGCCAAATGGAAGTCTGTAGTCTCTGCCTACCCCTCTGGGTGACAGGCGTGAGTGTTTATGTTATGTTATGTTATGGTACAAAATTCTAGTTTAAGCCACGCGTAGGATACCGAAACCAGGGACGTGATGCAGCGTCAAAGGAACCAGACGGTTGGTACTGCAATTAACAATCCACTTGCAAAGTAGCCAATTCTGCCCACAATTGTAGACGCCTTTGTCCAACTGCGGTCTTCTACTTTTTTATAATAGAAAAAGAATAACAAAGAAGCACAAAGTCCATGTAATTGGACGCTGCAGTCCATAGACATTTACATGTATCTTCATTTATGAATCAAAATGCAGATGCGTTGTCACTCCTGAGGACTAAGATGGAATGCATCGTTTTCAGTAAAAAGTGTCTCCGGTTACCTGCACCCACCAGCACCACAGCAACATTAAGCTGTTTTATTTTACGCTTGAATCCTGTGGGAGCGTGATCCTGCCCCGGTCGAGCCGACGTATTCGTGCTACAATCATAATATAGCTGCGGCGTGACTCTACTACGTAAATACTTGCAGGTGAGAACTCAAATTTTAATGGACAGCATCATTACTATTACGAGGACAAGCTAAGCGAGTACGAGCAAATCTTCCAATTGAAGATTAAATTAAAAAAAATAGTCAAAATCCTCCGATTTAATAAAATGGTGTCTATTTTCGAGTTTTAATTAAACTAATGCTCCCCGTTTTTTTTTAGTTTCTTGGGGTTTTTTTTTTGTTCTCAAAGCAAACGAGGTTTTAATGTCACTCACGCTCATTTCCTTTATTCAAAAAACGACGGGCTATTCGACCTTTTTTATATTAAAGGAAATATATTAAATGGCTATTATAGCTTTTATAACAAACTATCCCTTGGGGGACTTGCCCGGTATATACACCATCGACGATCCGTTCTACAGTGTAAAAAGAAGATAAAAAAGAAACTTGTATAACAAAATACTGATATAACAACCTATGACTCAGAATTAGTCCGTTTTATGCAAATTGTATTATGTTGCAGAACGAACACTACGCTCATTATAAATAAATATAATTTATTTAGTTTCAAAGAAAAACATAAATTAACATAACAAAATAATTAAACAACTAAAATAGCGTCTATTCGGCACAAATAGTTATAATTATAACGCTGATTTTCAGTACATGCAAAATAAAAACATCCACTGATTAAAATTTAAAAATAAACATAAAGATTTAGATACAGAAAAAAATCAATTAAATTATTTGATGAGATAATATTTAAGTTAAGTTAATTTCTCAATTTTATTTATTATTAATTTTTTAGTATGCAGACACAGCGTCTTTCATTGGAAAGGTGTGATACATCGACACAGAGTTCTACTAATTTTGCAAATTTAACCTCATAAACGCCAAGCGTCCAAATTTGACCGCTTCGATATTCCGTCAAAATTCAAGAGGTCAAATTTGACTGCACCCACCCACAGCACTTTAACCCATAAATACTTATGTTTAGAGACTACTTTTCTTTGAAGATGTTTGGCATTATGGAATCAACAATTAATCTAGTTAGTCTATGGATATTAATTTATATTCTACGTTCATTACGTACGCCATTTTCATTTGGATTTTGTTGCGTTAATTTTTGGATTTTTCTAGTGTTTTACTATATATAGTGTTTTATCATAAAATTGTTATAAAAGTTTTTGTGTTAATATAATTTATCTTCCTACGTAAATAATTTCGAGTAATATATAGAAACTAGTTATGCAGGCAGATGTTGTTCTACCCTTTTCGACGACCTTTGTCATGTCTTATTAAAAATCCTTAAATTAAAAAAATTTGGTCAATTTTCCGCAAAAAAAATCTATCTCTCAAGTTGAACCAAACTGTACATGATGTGCAAATTTGATTAAAATCGGTTAAGTAGTTTAGGAGTCCATCGCGGACAAACAACGTGACACGTAATTTATATACCGGGTCCGACGATTGAACTGTCCGTATGGGAAAATAAATTATTTTTGTTAATTTTCAATATTTATTTATACGCTTTTTACATATGACAATAGATGGTTCAAAGTTATGTTATGGGTTAGTCCGATGGAATAAAACCGCCTTTAGCCTTTATACTACAAGCTTGAGTCTCTTCCTGAATGAAGCGCACGCTGCTCGAACGACGTCATCACTTAAACAATTCCATTCTCGCGTAAGACTAGCTTTGAGCGCTTTCACCGACGTGTGTTTTGTAGCCTGTTTTGTGGCCTGTAAAAGACCCCAAATACAAAAGTCTAGCGGATTCAAGTCGGGTGATGACGACGGCCACATATCTCGGTCGATAAGCACTGGAACGTTCGCTTTCAACCAATTTTGCGTTCCAATTTGTCTGTGCGATGGTGCCGAGTTTTGCTGGAAAGTCCAACGCTCAGAACCGAACGATTTACGTGCCCACGGTATCAGCCCAGGTATTAAGACTTTGACTCGATAGATTTGCTGATTTATTTTGACTTGGTTATGACCCATTTGGAGAAAAACGAGCGGTGAACGGCCTTTTTCGGACACCGCCGCCCATGATTGATCGGCTCCTTGACGTCGAGTGACTTGCAGTTCGTCCGCATGGTCGCTGACACGTCCCTTCAACCATATACGGTCATTTTGTTTGTTAAGAAACTGCTTAACGCAGAAAGTTTTCTCATCCGAAAACACCAAATTGGGAATTGAAATAATACTAGTTTTTTACGGAATTTATCGCGTATATTTAACTTTTTTAATTACCCGACGTTTCGAACGCTTTACAGCACTCATGGTCACGGGCAGGACTGAGATGTTCAACGTCCATATGTCATAGTTAACCGCGGTTACCATAGATTAAAATTTTTAATCTATGGTAATCTATGCTACCAGTCTCAGAGTATGGTTTGATAGTACGATGTACAAATTTCTCATTTAGTTTAAGATTTGGCAGCGCTCGACGAATTTCGATGTTCGATTTTCCTTCCAAATACAGAGCAAACACTGAATTACGTTTTAAATCCATCGTTTTAAATTAAGAATGTTTTATCTCACAACAAAATCAGATCAAACCATGAAAGAAAATATGTCAAAGAACAACATTTTAAATTTTGGCGGCGTTCGATTCAGTGGTTCGAATTTTAAAACAGTTAGATCGAGACGGACAGTTCAATTGCCGGACCCGGTATATTAAGAAGAAAGATATAGAAAGATAAGATTAAGATAATTGTGATTTCCACGCTACCGATATCCGCTTGGTTTTTGTTGTTATCAAAATACAATAAAATCTTTTTGTAATGATGTAAAACCTGACTTTTGTTATTTAGAAAATTTTCTTAATAAATTTATACAAAACTTTCTATCAAAGTTTTGTATAAATTTTATAATGCCAAACTTCTTTATAGAAAAGTAGTCTCCAAATATAAGTTTTAATGGTTTAAAGTGCTGTGGGTGGGTGCGGTCGCATGCGACTGCTCGGGATATGCCAGGCGCACGCGACTGCATGGGAATTTTATGAGGATTGAAGGGTTAAAAGGTGTTCTTTTAGTTTTATTATAGAACCGTGTTACTGTTTTTGATCGGAGGTGGTATGTTATTGACAGCGGTTTGTCAACCACGTTTATTTCGAGTTGTTATCAGGAAGGTGCTGCGACCCATCTCCTGTTGTTTTTCGGGAAAAACACACACACAAAAAAGTTTTGTTATAAGAAAATTTTCTCTTCTTTGTCAATATTTATTTTTAGCGTGTTTAGGTATTCTACTATAACACACTTGTTTTGTACAACTCAGGGTGGAAGACGCTAACGGCTGTAACACAGTTTATATTAGTGTAGCTGTTGCTAACTGCATCGAAATGTAAACTTAAAGACAATGAACTGGAACGACTTTAATAATTTTTACATAACGACCTCAGAAGTCGAGACTTTAATTCTTCGACGCGCTATATCTTAGCATCGACTTCACAAGCTACTGTGTAAATGTTTTTTTTTAATTCTTTGAATAAGGTTTTTATTTTCTATTGAGTTTAATTTTTTAACACTTTTGAATAGCCTGAGAAACATAATATGCTCAAGGTTACGACTAGAATGTCGTCTTAAGAGTCACATTAAACACGATTTTTAACCTTTAGAGGTGAACATTTTTATCTAAATGTATGTAGTATCACTCCTGTATTACAGCCTATTTAACAAAAACAAAAGAATCATGAAAATTTGTTTTCAATTGACGAAAAAATTTCATAACCTACACATAAAAAGAACATACATTCGAAATTAGCCCGACTTCTTTTTTTTTTTAAATCGGCTATAAGTAGTTAAAATTTCGCGTATAGCCTTTGTAAACAGAGCCCGAGCATTTCGACACTAAAGGCGTGCTCACTAAAATTTAACGACGATTATACGACGAATTTTACGACTACTTTATACGGAATAATGCTTTATACGCTAGGTCGTAAAGTTTTTTTTTTTATTATCATAAGTCAGAGCTTAATTACTATCCCACCTGATGAACTAGTGATACAGCCAAAGATTGCTAAGCACACTTACTTAGACAAAAGCCTATTCACTCTTACGTTGAAAACACACACATTTGTTTTTCGGGAATATAAGGAATACATCTGAAGTAAATCGTTAAAATTAATAATATTGTGAGAACGGAAGTTTATTGCTCTTTTGCTCACACAATTAATCATTATAGTCAATAAAACAACGTACGGCACTATGCGTTATGTTCAGAGCAATTACAGTTCGACGATAGGTACCGTAATATGTCCCCGTCACGTTTACACAGTAGTGTAACATAAGAGACATAATTAAGTGATAGCACCAAGGTATGCAAATCAACTACCCATCTCATTGTAACTCAGAGCAGCCCCTCAGCAGCAACAATTTCATTGCCTGCACTAGAAGAATTACTAAAACGAACAGAATCACGACACTGCCATTCTACGTGTCTTAGAATTCGCCGAATTACTAACACCCGTATTTATAAACAAGTAAAAGTAATTACTTGAGTAAAAGTAATCACTTAAGTAACGATTTGTATTGGATAGTTAAGTAATTGCTCCAAGCTAGAAGTGTCAAAAGTTAGAATACTCAGCCAAGTAATAGTCACCATTTCCTTTACATAAGCACTACTTTGAGGTTATTTTAGATAAAAAATGAAAACTTTGGATAGCATTGGACCGGTTTTTGATGTTGTAGAAAATATAGATGGTAATATTATATTAGAGGAGATAGGATTTTATTTTTCAAATATATATATCGAATAAATTCATTTTCAAAAATCATTTGAACAGAAATTAAACAAATAAGTATAATAATCAAACATTATATTTATGTTGTAAGTTTTACACTATTTACTTTAACACATTTAATTTTATCGATAATAATTATTTTTAACAGAAAACAAGAATTAATTAAACATTTTTTTACTTTTACGTTTATTTCTTTAGAGTTGAATTTTAAAATAACGATTTTGACAACCTGGCGCATAGTAAGCGGTCACGGGGTACCGAAGTTGCCACAATAGGCAAATAGATCTTAGCTAGGCTAAGAAGCCCGGGTGACAACCCTTTCATGCCATCTCACATCTCCAACTCATCTCCCTTTATAGGACTGACAGGTGATTACATGAATATATGTAACTCTTTTTTCGGGATTATGTTATTTCTGCTAAACGAACCTTCTTACTTTAAAAGTTTAGACGTTATCTAATTTCGACATTTGTTCGACATTCGATGTTCGTAAGTTTTAACATACGGAATTTTATGCCTTAGAATTGTTGGTTATTTCCAAACCTTTGAATGTAATGAAGAACTATGTTTATGAACACAGAAACAACCACCAAGCGTAGTGTTACTTGGGCATTTGCTCAAGTAAGTAAGGTGTGTTACTCAACTATAGAATGAGATTTTGTAATTAAGAATTCTAACCTTAAGGGAAAATATATCCTCAAATGGCTTAGCAAGATCCTCCGTTATGTCGAAAGCATTGCAGCATTAATTTTGAAATAAATATATGGTAAAGTTGAGTTGTTGCCACCTACGACGACTCGACCTGGCAACATATAACGCACGCACCTTGAGGACTGACGAGAAGATACTGGAGCTGGAAGAAGAGGTAGACAAGTTGCGCTGGCATATTATTGGATTATCCGAGGTCCGAAGAGAGGGGGAGGACATGGCAATCCTCGAGTCCGGCAACTTGTTCTATCACCGGGAGGGCGACCATCGGTCCCAAAGAGGTGTCGGATTTATCGTCCACAAGTCTTTCGTCAACAAAGTTGTAAAGATTGGGAGTGTATCGACGAGGGTCGCGTACCTGATATTCAGAATCACCAAACGGTATTCGCTGAAGGTCATACAGGTTTACGCACCAACCTCGGCACATCCCGATGAGGAGGTGAAGGAAATGCATGAGGATATTTCCAGAGCCATGCATTCCTCCAAAACCCACTACACGGTGCTGATGGGAGACTTCAACGCAACAAGAGAAAGCGGTGAGCTGAATGTAGGGAACTTTGGAGTAGGGCAACGGAACCGAAGGGGCCAGCAGCTGGCCGACTTTATGGAGAAAGAGGGACTCTTTATGATGAACTCTTTCTTTCAGAAGCGGCCCCACAGGAAGTGGACCTGGTCGAGCCCCGACGGATCTACAAAAAATGAGATCGACTTCATTATGACGACCAGACGCCAACTGTTCAGTGATGTCTCAGTGATCGCAAGGGTGAAAACTGGCAGCGATCACCGAATGGTTAGAGGCACACTGAACCTAAACGTTAAGTTGGAGAGGTCTCGTCTAATGAAGTCAACGCTCCGTCCCCCTCGTGCTCTAATCCAGAATCCCGAAACCTTTCAGCTCGAGTTACGTAACCGCTTTCGGTGCCGAGAGGATTGCAATGCAGTGGACGATATGAATGACAAGCTCGTGGAAACTATCCATGCGGTCGGAGCTAAGTTCTGCAAGACCCACCGCAGACGAACACAAAAACTCTTAATCTCATGAGAGGAGGCTGCAATCGTCAACAGATTTAACAGCATACAGGCAACTGAACAGACAGATCTCCAAATGCATGCGGCGAGACTTACGCAACTTTAATACTGCTCGTATTAAAGAAGCGATCGAGCGGAACCAGGGCTCCAAAGCCTTTGCCAGAGATCTGTCAACTAGAAAGAGCCAACTGTCAAAGCTGAAGACTGAGTGTGGCAACATCGTTTCCGGGACACCTGAGATTCTGAGTGAGATTGAGAGGTTCTATGGGCAGCTGTAAACATCATCGTTGGCGCCACACGCAAGTGTGAGTAACGATCCAAGAGCAAGTCTTATCCGACACTATTCCGATGATATCCCGGACGTCAGTCTGAGCGAGATTAGAATGACTCTCCACCACCTTTAATAACGGCAAGGCCCCGGGCGAGGTGGAATTACAGCGGAGCTTCTGAAAGCGGGTGGAACACCGGTACTTGAAGTCCTTCAGAAGCTCTTCAATTCCATCCTCCATGGTGGCGCTAC